AAGAACGAAAAGGTTCTGTTCCGTAGTACTTTTTCTAAAAGTAACAGTTTTACGGCACTTGCAACACAAATAGGCCATTTTAGTTTTAGTAAGATTTATGGCACTTGCAACACAATAAGGTCATAGAAGTGCTGAAGAATATATGCGTTACTGGAGAGTAACATACACAAAAAAGGAGAAGAGATAAGGACGATAGATGCTTGATAGGAAAGAAGGCCATTTTAGTTTTTTGCTTTGTTCTTTTTTTGTAGAGGGTTTTACGGCGCTTGAAACTGCATAAGGCCATTTTAGTGCCAAAGAAAGCGACATACAAAGGAGAAGAGATAAAGATGATAAATTCAATAGGAAAGAAAGAGCAAACCACACTAGAGCAACAGCCAACCAACCAAGGGATGAGGAGGAGAAGGAAGAGGAGGAGGAGGAGGAGGAAAGGAAGGAGAAAAAGAAGAAGAAGAAGAAAACAAAGAACACAAACAAGAACAGAAAGACACCTGATTGCGACGAGATTCTATAAACAAAGAACACAACATAACATAACATAGCACAACATAAGGTGACAAAAACCATTCAGCCAAAATGTCAGTATAATTATTTTACCCACTTTACTTGTGTCAAAAGATTGGAACAAGTCGCACATCGGACACAACCTCACTATATTATGAGTACATTCGTGCAATGATACAGAGCATTATGTCAAAGTACAGGAGCTTTAGGCAGTTTTGTTCACAATGGGAGGCAATTTTCTTATGAAAGAATTCATTTTTTAACAAATGTTTTTATCAAAGATGTACAATGTGGTAGGTAAGACAGGAAGTATTTAAAGTATCACCATCCGTATTATGTAGAACAGCATGTATGTGCTACTTTTTAAAATCACAACAAGAGCTCTGCTCAGATTTTGCTGTGAGTCACTGTGAGAGAGCATTATGACCAGGTGAATTGTTCATCCATATGAGAAGGAGGTTACTCTAGATAGATAAAACCATAGAGAATGTGCGTGTATGTGTGTGGGTAGGCCTAAGTAAGTGTGTGTAGCATAGGAGAGAAGGTGTGCGTATGTGTGGGTGTGTGTGTGAGTGTGTGTGTGCGTGTATGTGTGGGTGTTTGAATGTGCATATGTGAGTGTGTGTTTCTGAATGTGTTTATGTATGTATGTGTGTGTGTCTGTGTTTTGTGTGTATGTGTGTGGGTGTGTGTGTGGGTGTGTGTGTGTATGTGTGTGCTTGTGTGTGTGTGGGGGGGGGGGGATAATTAACAAAACTTCAGTGAAAATTAATTATCAATTACCCTGTCAATGACTTTCTAAGACAAGACATCAGGGAAATGAGACTGCAAATGGCGGCGAAGCATAATGTTAAATGAAGCTTATACATCCTTTTCATGCACCTTCAGGTTACAAATACCCCCCTCTATACAGCTGCATACAATCCACAGTATGAGACATTGACTGAAATCGTAACTTATTCAACATCTTTGACTAACATATTGATGGTGTTGAACACAGAGTCGCCACATTATAGACAGTTATTTGAGACAGGAAAAAAAAAAAAGGATGGGATTTGCAATCCATTTATTCTAAACTATAAAGCTGAATCAGACAGCAGTAAAAATTCTTGTTTTCGACTTTTACTTAGCAGAGGGGAAAAAATACACTAGCTATACTTTCTATAATCAGCCACCGAAAGCTGTTTTTCAGCTCTAGTCAGACTTACGTATTTTCACTTGAACGGCATTGTATTGTCAAGACAAACAGGACTAAGGTCATTTAGAGCTCAGAAACAGAAAAGCCAGAAACCACTCAGGAACAGTCAAGTTGTAAAAGCTACCAGTCGCACCCACCAACCACCCATAGAAACAACAATGGGGACCATAGAGAAATGGAAACTTCCTGCGGCATCCACCAACTGCCCATTTAGCAACATAATGTCCAACACCATCAGTAGGTTAGTTTTAGTCATCAACCAAGATAAATCAAGAACAATGCCAGCAGTTTGCATAACAATGTATCATCATTATAATTATCATCATTATTATATATACAAATCAAAGTATGGATAGTTCCATACGGAAGCCATTATTACTGTAATGTACAGCACCATTGCGAGTAACATATAAGACAGTTTACGTTCAGTATGTGTAGTTCTATTAGGTTGTAACAGCTATTGCAACATACAGTTTTTATAAAATAAAGTGTACGGGTTTATCACCCCTATCAACACTATACGGTTATTTCAGAGGCGGGACCTCCGAATTTGATGTCTGTCTCTGAGAGGACAGAGGTAACTGGATTGAGAGCCTTGAAAACTTCACAAAGTATCCCAGTTCGAGAACGCCCGGTCTGGGATTTGAACCAGGGCCATCCGCTCTGTAGTCCAGTATGATGCCAACTAAGACAACAGAGCGCCTCAAAATAGGGTTTTGTACAGCAACTGTGTGTGCATCAGCATGGGCGCATATCTGCGAGTGCCATTTGTGAGCGTCTGTGCAAGTGTGTATGTTTGCTTATGTGTTCATGAGCATTGACACACTTGTGAGAGTGAGTAAGGGCATGTGTGTGTGTGTGTACGTGTGTGTGTGTGTGTGACGCAAGAGAGAGACAGACAGACAGACACAGACAGAGCATCAGAATAAAAAACCCAGCTCTACTGAGACCTACAAGTGATACAATTAATCAGGAAATCATTTCAAGGAAGATCAACTTCAGCAGTTCAACCCTGACTAACATGGTACAAATGTCTCAAGTCAGGGAAAACATATTTCTGATATATAAGGAAATAATTAACACCCATTTGCATAACAATCAAGCATTACATCAACCATCTTTCTCACCAATCCACATGACACGAATAATGCATAAATAGAAAGTAGCCCCAACAACATATTTACACTATTTTCAATACTTTTCATAACATAGAGTAGACATTGATTCATTCATTATAAATATCTCTTTTAAAAATCAGATTCAATGATATAAAATTTAATACTTTGTAAAGTAAGTTAATTGTAATAAAATTTAAAAAACACACACAAGTTTTATTATGCCCATTTGTTGTAAGTGGTATGAATTTGAGAACGAGTAGACAGGAACAAGACACGACAATTGAGTAGATGCATCCCATGGCGAATTGACACAAACAGTTCAGTTTATTTGACATAACTTTGAGAACGCGCCAGACGCAAAGCAAACAATTCAATAAACGGAAAGATGACAACTTGCTGATTGGCATGAAAATGGCAAATTCTGTTTAAAAACTAAGTAGGGATTGTTTGTTCGCCTGTTTGTTTGGGTAAAGAGAAGCACACCGACACAATCATGGTCATTTCGTGCCGAGATAAAGTAAGGTAGACAGACAGACAGAAACAACAGGGGGGGGGGGGGGGGGGAGGGGGGGTGAAGGAAGAAATAGGACCTACCAGCGGCACCCTCCAAATACTAACACTAAGTAATGATAGCACAACAGTTAAGACTGACATTGTGACACAAAGAGATGACACAACTAAGGTTCATCTCGCCACATCCTCCTTTTCAGTACGTGTTTTACGAAACTTGCAACACTCACCACAAGTAGGTCATATAAGTGTCGAAGTTTAAGATTCTGGGATCTCAAAGAGGATGTAGGGGCACATCTTTTATGCTAGACAGTCTGAGAATTCCTTTTAAAAAAGTTCTAGGCAGAATGATTTCAAATTAAAATTATTATACATCTCTTTGATGACTGGAGGTTGAAAAGGTCTCTGGGCTCAATGTCGTTGTAAATAACGGTGGAGAATACACACAAAAATATATGTATCACAAAACAATGAGTGTAAGCCGACATCAACATAGAGTGGTTGTAAATGCTGTATACCAACAAACACACACAAATTCAGATCATGTAGAAAAACTGGCTCCTTCAGCCCTTCTTGTTAAGGCTGGCCTCGGCGCAAGGTGAGATACACCGTATCAGGAAAACAGAGATGATACCTGATAAAATATTACATTCCCAATGTGACTATCAATCGCACGACTTTTGTATAGAAATCAGAAGTGGTTGATCGATCGTTGTCATATCTCAGGTTCATGTTTAAGGTCATGTCTTTGAGCACAAATCACTAAACAAAAAAAAAAAGACCCATAAAAAAAAAAACCCCCCCCCCCCCACCATAAAGACGACTCATCATCTTCTTAAAGTACAGATGCTGCTTTAGACAGGCGACAAACAGACCACAATGCTAACCTGAAACTACTATCTTTAACTCAGCGATACAAAAAACCCAAAACAACAAACTTGTGCAATTTCCATGCAATCATGACGGACTGAGGGAGTCGAGGAAACCCTGAGAAATTATAATATACCCCAACTGAGAGAGCTACAGAGTTGGCCTACCATAGAAAAACTGCACCCCCCCCCCCCCACCTCAATGGTTAACGGCAACAGAGGATAAAAAAAAGTAAAAAATACAAATTTTTTTTTAAAAAAGTACACAAACGCCCTCACATGTTGGTCCCTCTAAGAGGATTGAAACAATGCAAAAGCTAAATCCTGAACAAAACCCACCGGATGGGAGACCCTTGTAGAAAGGATCCAACCAGTCAAAGCAATATTATAATATCCAAAAACAGAGACTTCCCAGAGTGAGACATCAAAAATGGCCCTTGCTTTAATATGTGTGAGGCAGTGTGGTGAAATCAGGCGCTCGTCGAAATAATGAAATTTAAGAAACAGGCATTACATCACCGATTTGGCATGTTTTACAGAATTATTTTTTTAAAGCTCAACATCTTTTATGTCGATGAAAGAACATGAACACATTTACGTGTTGATTTTACTGAAAAATGTTGATTAAAGGCGCGAAAAATGTAAATTTTCCATTTCCATGGACTCAAAAGCGAGGGAAATAACCAATTTTGTGAGCCATTTTCTCGCTTATTTTACCTCTGAAACCAGACAACCACCACCTCCTTCAATTGCAAATATCTTGACTTGTATTCAAGATAGAGTGGGTATTTTTTCATCGAAAGTAAGACAAATGAACAAGCTTTAAGATAACACCAATAACTCCAGATAACAAAAAATTGAGGAGAGCCTGATTCCACCGCATCATGACACATACAATATGCAAGAGAGAGACACCATAAATGGCCCTTCCTTAAATGAATACAGACACTCTTACAACTTCCAATGACACTCATAACAAACTTTGTGTGAATGTGAATATTTCAACAGACAAGTAGAAAAACTTCACATGAAGAGACAGAAAAAATCCACTGGTGTTCACATATCGCTCTAAACATCAAGATTGACAAATAATTTTCAAAAACAAAAACAGATCATTTTATCAACTTATTTCTGCATCAAAAATACCCCAAACAATCCTTCTTTCAGCTAAACGTTTCCAACTGACAAAAAACTTCATCTCCATAACATTAACTTATTCTCAACGGAAGCGTATTCTCAACAGTCGACAGACACACTGCCCCTTTACAAGTATCTTCACGTGACCTGAACACACAGACACTACTACACACACGGGCACCCTTCGTGACTAGCTTGTACTATTGGCGTGGGTTCGAACTAGTTTGGCCTGGTCTCGGTTCAGCCGCTTGCCGATCGTCTCCACCTTGAAGCCGATGTCCATGAGCTGCTGGTGGTCCAAAAGTAGCCGTCCGTCGAAGATGAAGGCCGGCTTGAGCATCTTGTCGTAGATACGTTGGTAGTCCAGCGTCTGTTGGCACAAATTTTAAAAAAAAAAAGAAGAGATATCACCTATTGATTCTCCAGCAGTACGAGCAAAGATAAAAAGATAAGACAACATCACCAACTGATTTTCGGGTGGAGGAAATTTACAATTTACTTTCAATAGCTTGCTTATAGTTTAGTTTTCGTAAGAGCTTTACAGCAAATGCAACACAAATAGGTCATATAAGTGCTGAAAATTATAAGTATTACTAGAGAGTAATATACAAAGAAAAGAAAACAGAGATAAAAGGTAAATAGATGGTTGAAAGGAAAGAAGGAAAAAAGTGCATCAGAGTACCGGCCAACCACCCACCATCACCAACTGTGCACTACAAAACATAAGTTTATAGCTAATATTAACACATCACAAGGATCAATACAGAGATGGAAAGAGATAGGAGAGAGGAGAGAAAGATTGGAGAGAGGAAAATGAGAGAGAGACAGAAGGGGAGAGACAGAGAGAAATAGAGACAGACAGAGATAGAAAGACTGTAGAGTAGATAGTGAGACGGCTAGGCAGAGACAGAAAAGAGTCTACAAAAGAGACATGGACAAAGTCAGACTGATCGACTGACCACCATTACACTGCCCACAGATTCTCCGACTCTCTCACCTGAAACTCGTCCCACTCTGTACAGATGACCAGGGCGTGGCTTTTCTCTGCGGCCTCGTACGCGTTGGGGCAGATTGTCACCAGTTCTGGCACTAAATAGATCAGACAAAGAAAGAAATGTCACATGTATAAACGGCAGTTCATCAACTCCATCACTTAATATAGACAAACAAATGTTAAATGTATATACGACAGTTCATCAACTCCAGCGCTAAATATAGAACAGACAAACAAAGAAAGGTCAAAATAATTTAGGACAGTTCATCAACCCCGGGACTAAATATAGATCAGACAAAGAAAACATTTTCAAACTTATCTAAACCAAACAAGGCAAGGTTGGGGAAAAGGGGGAGGCGGGACAGAATCAGAAAACATGACAATGTGAGTACACAATGCCAGAAGTATTTTTGTCCTTTTCATATTGAGTACACCAAACCTCCCAAATCCTCTTTCAGAGCCTCATTCAACCAGGACTGGCATTTTTACTTCAAGCAAACAGAGGATAGTGGGGCAGGTTGGAGGTTAAGAAGAGCACATAGACATCACAATGGTCAAGTCTGCTTGGGGAAAAACAAAATAGGCGGACACAGCAGTCGGTAAAAAGACGGCCTATCTAGTGGAGCCCTCTAACAACTTGAAAGAAAAAGATGAAGCAGACCACACACACGCACACACACACACACACACACACACAAGCGTAGAGTGTACACTCACCTCTCTGGTCGGTCTGTGACACACACACACACACACACACCCATCCATCACACACACTCATATTCACACACACAAGCGTAAAATGTTCACTCACCTCTCTCTGGCTGGTCTGTGATCTCGGCCATCGTCAGGTCACTGGAAACAAGGGAGATAAACAATAAACATTTCTGTCACATAAGTATACGTGCTTATGTCCCTTGTCACACGACCTCTTGCATCATTAATTTTTGTTAGAAATACATTTTCTTGTTTCAAAAGGGAGACCTGAAAACCGCATAATATTATATGGGACGAAAATTATATAAATATCTCTAATCACATTTCAATGAGAAAAAAAGAATACTGCTAAACTATAGATCATATTGAATTGGTAGAGCAAAGGACGTTATAATATTGTGCCTATAAAACAGAAAAGAAGAAGACAGGGTAGACCACAGCAGAGGACATACCGTATATCGTCTTCTCAGAGCTGTTGAGTCCAAAGTGCACTCTTTACTTAATTATATTTTGGGCAAAATAGTTCTGAGGCGATGTTATATCAACCACAAAAAACCCCCCAAAAAACACCAGAGTAGACGACAGAAAGACGTACCTCATGATTTGATCTCTCGGCACTTTGGGGTCGTAGATCTGGACGTGGGCTCCTTCATCTAGCAGGTACTTACACACATGGATTGCTGCTGATTCTCTGTTGGGGAGGGGAGATTGAACTGATTGTAAATAGTTATAATTGCTTTCTTACTTTATTTAGTTTTTTGATCCAGGGGCCATTGGTGTAATTGCTACAAATTTCCCCACAGACGCAAGATGGGGGGGGGGGGGGGGGGGGAGAGATTGATTTGATTGTAAATAACTGAAGTTGCTACACATCCCCCATAGACACAATTCAGATAATTTTGGATGTGGTCTGCTTTGTTCCTACTGACTAGGGCAAATTCATGCAAAGTAACGAGATAAAATATCCCTGCAGACACACAAAGTTTTTAAGCAAGATTCTTACAGCACTTGCAACACAATTGGGTCATATCAGTGCCAAAGATTAGAGGTGTTACTAGAGAGTAACATGTAAAGAAAAGAAGGAGTAGAGATCATGATAATGGATGTTTGACAGGAAAGAAGGACCAAACCACACCAGAGCAGCCACCAACCACCCACAGACAGGCAGAGATATTCAAAGAATAAAAGAACAACAAAATATAAATTTCCAAACTTTGGGATCAAACACATATCTTCTGCACGGAATGGAGAAGAAGCTAACCATTATACACCGTCGATGCTGGTTTGAGAGAGAGACAAAGAGGAGCAGGACAGTGAAAGCAAAAAGACAAACACTTTCAACAACAGGGGGAGAGAGATAGATAATCAGGGATGCCATTCAATTTTTTTTAAATAGCTGAAAATCCACGTACGCGCCACGGTCTCGCTAACATATGAATATCAATTTGAAACCCAAAGGGTGTACACAGAGAACTATAGATTCTATCTCGATCTCAATAACGGAACAGCGGATCAGGATCAAAATACCGGAAATACCAAAAAAAAAGCGGAAAAGTGCCATCCCTGGATAATGTACTGAGGCACTCTGGCCACATTCGGCAGACAGCTCCCATAATGGTGTGCACTGCAAAAGCACCATATCAGACAAGTCTTGAGTTTCGAGCTCGAGTACAAACCAGCACCCCGACGTCATAGCGGTCATATTTACTGATGGGCTGAAGAGCAATACAGATGGACAGAAACAACAGAGGGAAAGAAAAGAGGCACCCTCCAATCACCCATTAATACGCCTAGTGTTTACCATATTTTTTGCAAGATGGTTGTAAGGTAGGGAAATGGGACCTCGTTGAGACACAAGCCGAGAGAGTGATGATAAACTTTTACAACACCACATACACCCCCCCTCCCCCCACCCTCCCCAAACCAAAAAAACTGCATCAAAGGTGTAAATATTAATATTTTTGCAGTCATTTTTTTCTTCACCCGGGCCCTCGCCCTCCCCCCCCACCTCTCCCTCAACCAAAAGCACAGAAAAAAAGACAACTACGAATAAACAAAACAAAACCCAAAAAAAATGAACACAAAAGCGGAAAACAAAAAGAAAAAAACTAAGGAAAAAAAACTAAGGCCAACAAACCAAACTTGTATTACCTCAGGGTTGACCAGTCACCAAGGCCAAAAGAGACGAAAGAGTTTTTTTTAAAAAAACAACAACAGAAAAACATCTCCCATCCCAAAACAAAACATAGTAAACAAAAGTACAGGAAAAAGGACAAACTTGCTGAATGCACTTCGGAGAAAGTTCAGAACACTAACCCAACAAACTAGGAAATGGGTAAAAGAATTTTTTTAAAATAAAGTAAAAAGTCTTATCACGTAACCAAAATTACCATCCCAGGTCCAAACCGAGTTTTCTGAGGGCAGAGCGTAAAACAGAAGGTCATCACATGCCCAAAGCCATGCTGGTTTAGTTTACTTGTTGTTGTTAGCGATCCAGTAGCATCTGAGCGTTAACTCTTCTGCATGATGCCATTCGGTAATAGTTGCATGTTTGTTCTAATTGTTGTCTTGAGGAGAAGAGGCAATTAGATGTGTGGTGTAGCTTGGGAAGAAAACATCCCCTCGAATCAGTTAGTTTTCTACAGAAGAACAGATGATGTTCTACTGTCTCTGAGGGGTAGTCACATAGTGGGCAGGCAGCAGACTGCTTTACTCCAATTCGGTTGAGATGTTGGTTGAGGGGTACATGTTGTGTTCTAAGTTGGAAGATTATGGATTCATCTCCCCTCCTCAACTCATTGATTGGATCTTTGACCAGTGGTTTATTCATGTGGCCATACATCCTCCTTCCTGTCGTACCAGTGGCCCAATCATTCATCCACTCTTCCTTGAATTTGGTTTACTTCTAGTTAGAGTTTTACGGCATTTGTAACCCAAGTAGATCATGCAAGTGTCTAAGATTAGAGGTTTTACTAAGAAAAGAAAAGAAAGAGGAAACATAAAGATGAGAGACGTTGGGGAAGAGACGGAGCAAACCTCATCAGAGCTCCCGATAACGTCATCCGGCCTCCCAAATAATGTCCCCATAATTTGACAATCTTGTCCAGCACTTTAGCAAGAATCTCCCTTTAGATAGACATTCCCACACTGTATCTTGACAATGGCATTCCACTCATTTGTTTAATTCTTAGTTACAGTGGTTTAGAAAGTGCTGATACATTTTGCTTTTACTGCTGTCCTTACAAATATATAATTTATGAACGGTTATGAAAGTCCTTCTTTAAGTGGTTGAACTGGATTTCCTTGTTACTGTGAAATAAAATTTATCTTATTTGAATCGGTCAGTGATCATGTCATTGAAGTAAAGCACCCACAGCTTGTACTAGTATGGGATAGAGCGCAATACAAATACAATCTATTCTTCTTCTTCTTCTTATCATTATTGTTGTTACTATCATTATTATAATTATTTAGATAACCTCGTCTTGTCTTTGCAATAGTCTGACAATCCTGTCCTGTGCTTTAGCAATCTAATAATTCTGCGAGTAAAGCTGAAGTACCTCGTGTCTGCTGTGTTCTTCTTGAAGGCAAACCCCAGCACAGTGATACGTTTGTTGGTGATGGTGTTGAAGAGACTCTGTACGATACGCATGGTGAAACGACGGCGCTGGTACTCATTGATGTCGATTACCTGGGTAGAAAAAAAGGGGGGAAAGAGAAAAGTTTTACATGCCGTCAGGTTGTTTGTTTATCATCTTGGGACAAGGATAGAAAATAGAAATACACCTTTGGTCATGACCATCATCAACGAACACTTTGAGCACACAGTCTACACTTTTTGTCTCTTTTCCTCACTTTCCTTGCTCCTGCCTCCTCCCCCCTCACCTTCCATCTCCCCCCTTCCCCAACCCAAACATGCTCAATCAAAAAACAATGTTGTCTTTCTGTCTGTTGACAGTAAAATGTTGATAGCAAAATACACAGAGTGGAGTCATCACTTTGTGAACGGAAAAAAGGGGTGCGGGGAGAGAGAAAGGAAGGAGGGGGGGAATAAGAAATGCTTGGACATTGTTATCCCTCTGCATCATCTGCACACTAGGTATGTCACTTACTGTGTTGGCTCAGGGCAAAGTTAAATACAAGAGTTACAGCTAAGGTAATCCCAGCGCTGTGTGCTAGTGGCGTAAATCTCCTGACAAAAAAAAAAAGAACTCACCTGTTGCCAGTAGGCGGCCACCTCGGGCAGGTTCAGACACTCACACAGATAGACCATGTTGAGTACGTCCTTCTTGAAGCAGCTCCCACCAAAACCTGGCGTAAAACACACACACACATAATATATGGCCACTTGTAGAAGATGTGAACTTAATAAACATATGTGAGGCAGCGTGGTGGAATCAGGCTCTCGTCAAAATTATCAAAGTGAAGAAACCTGCATTTTTCCGCGGGTTTGTGAATTTTTATCAGATTTTTGTCTTTTGGCTCAACACCTTTTATGCCCATTAAAGAATTCATTTTTGAGAGGGTTTTTCTGAAAAACGTTGATTCAAGGCACAACAAATATAAATTGTCAGTTACCACGGACTCTTAAGCTAAGGAAATAACTAATCTTTGGCGATCATTTTCTCACTAATATTTACCTCTGAAAACAGGTGACCACAATCTCTTTCTTTCGCAAATATCTAGACCTGTGCTGTATTCAAGATAAATGGATATTTTTTTCATCAATTAAGACAAATGAACAAGCTTTAAGGTGATACCAATACCTCTACATGCCCAAAAATTGACGAGAGCCTGATTCCACCACGCTGCCTCACATATAGGAAAACTAAAGCAAACGGAAAATAACGTGTGTAATTTTGAACTTATTTTTCACTTCTTGACAAGTTTCCAGCTAGCACCCGCAATAAAACTGAGATAAGATTAAAAAAAGATTTTATTGATCAACACAAAAGAAAATTTTTCTGCAGCATGGTAAATAAATACATGCACACACATTTGTCAACACACACAGACTCACTCTTTTTTTCTCTCTCTCTCCCTCGCCTTCTCTCTCTCTCTCAGACACACACACACACACACACACACACACACACACATTTATATGAACTGACACACACACACACGATTAATCACTGAAGAATACAGACACAAAATAAAGTCATTCAAAGCCTAAACTCAAACTTCTGTGAAATCTCTTCTCACATGTCTCAACAACGTACAGCAAATGGGCCACTCACCGACGGAAGCTTTCAAGAACTTTGGTCCAATGCGAGAGTCTGTGCCCACGGCGTGGGCCACTTCGTCCACATCGGCCCCGGTGGCCTCACAGATGGCCGACATGGCGTTGATGCTGGAGATCCTTTGGGCCAAGAAAGCATTGGCAGCCTGAGGGGAGGGAAAAGGAGAGTGGTAAGTCACAGTCAGACTGAACAAAAACATAACATCCAAATTGGGTCAGGAAAGATTAGAACAAAAGAGGCACCGAAAAAAAGTTTTTTTAGTATTAGCAGAGGGTTTTACGGCGCTCGCAACTGCATAAGGTTATATGAGCGCCAAAAGATTAGAGGTGTTACAAGAGAGTAACAGACATAAAAAAGAAGAAGGGGGAGATAAGGACGATAGATGTTTGATAGGAAAGAAGAAGCAAACCACACCAGAGCACCCGCCAACCACCGAAAAAAAAGTAGAAGGAGCAGATCATATTTGCGCATCCACAACTACCCATCTCAGAATCTCATTATTATTCACACACAAATCTGTTTAGGTTCATAACTTTTCTTCAGCATCAGCGAGTCTTTGAGGAGCAATTCCAGAAGATAAAGGAAATAGAGAATAGATATTCTCCTGTACAAAAAAGGATTGCTGTATTCAGACCCTCAAAAAGATATTAAATACTTTTTTATTACATACTAATTTGCAATTATGCAATTAAAACAGTGTCTTTGCTCTTTGCTCAACATTTTTAAAGTAAAATCAATACAGAAATGTGTTTTTAAAAGGACATAAAAGGTACTGAGCCAACCCCCCCCCCCCAAAAAAAAAACTCCCATAAAGTCCATAAAAATTGCTCAAAGAGTAGAAAAATGCTACTTTCTTTGAATTTGTTATTCTATCAATTACGCCATTGGCGCACTGGTTGGCATGAGTTAAGCAGTCAGACCAGGCCATCCACTCACCAGTTTAGACAGCTCGGAGGACCAGGTGTTCATATTTATGATGTTCTCCTTGGGCACCCAGTGCTCGTAGATCCAGCTCATAATTTTTCTTAAGCATTGGTAAGTCCGTAAGAATAGGTATTTCTCAACACTAAAAACGACTCTTACTCTGGCCCTCAAAAACATATTAAATGTGTCGTGACCCTGTTGCTCGGCAATTTTTGGGCATATGGACATATTGTTGTCATCTTAAAGCTTTTCATTTGTTTAGATTTGGTGAAAAAAAAATTCATATATTTTAACACAAGGTGAGATATTTGCAATTGAAGGGCATGGAGATGCCTGGTGTCAGGTAAAATTAGTGAGAAAATGACTGCTAAAGTTTTGTGACTTTCACAACTTGAATGTCCTTGGAAACTGAAAATTTACATTTCATTGTGCCTTTGCTCAATATTTTTCAGTTACACCCACACAAAATGTGTTTTAAAATGGACATAAAAGGTGTTGAGCCAAAAAAAAACCTAAAACAAAAAACAAAACCAAAAAAAAAAAAAACCCAACAAAACCCAAAAAGTCAAGAAAAATTGCTCAACGGGTAGACCAATGCTAGATTCTTTGAATTCGTTATTCTGACAAATACGTTATTTGCACAGAGGTTGTCCACTAACCAGTTTAGACAGCTCTGAGGACCAGGTGTTCATGGTGATAATGTTCTCCTTGGGCACCCAGTGCTCGTAGATCCAGCTCAACGCCTTCACAGCCTCACTGCCCTCGCCGGTCGGCTCTCCACCAATCAGAACGCGGTCGGGATTCAGCAAGTCTGTGATGGCCGTCCCCTCTGCCAGGAACTCGGGGTTGGACAAAACCTGGCGTGATGGAGAGAGGGTTAGAGTTAAGAGAAGCATATCGATGCAATAGTGGTTATCTAGTACTGGGAGAATAAGATGACTGACAGATAAAATTTTCTTTAAAAAGCAAATGTAAAGAAAAGAATTAGCACCTATCAGTGAAAAAAAGAGGACCGTAATCTCCTCACCCCCC